AAAGGTAGCAGTACAGCCTCTGACTTCAGTGGTTTGCAGTATAGGTTTACCTCTAGCCCTATGCATAATGTAGGTAATATTTCAATGCTGCAGCTCTAGTAGAGAAACTATTTCTAGGATAACTACAAAATTCGAGCTCAGATGTTAACATTACTAATCTTTGAATGTAAAAATTTTAAATTCCTGAGTCAAACCATTTATTTGTTAAACCTCATGGAGGGAACTTTACTTACTTTGTGTCAGTTTGTGTGATAATAATTGGGTTTCAAACATTGTTTTATTGTTAATGTGTTTTTATCATTTGACAACCTTAAATTAATAAACATAGACTGCTGATGGTTTTTGGCGTCAATAGCGTTTAAATTAACAATTAAAATTATATTGTATTAGAAGAAACCAACAGTTTTCTGGCTTGGATGCAGGTATTTGACATGATCTCATTCTCTATATCTTCAATGAAAAGCTGACCTCTCACTTCTAAAAGCCCAGCACAAACGGAGAGATGTCTGAAGAACTAATATGTCATAACAAATCTACAGCAGACCTTTCTCTCCACCTATATGTTGATTTGAGAAACACGCCTAGTAACGGATGCACTCCATTTAGCTGCTAAAGGTCCGCGCCGCTGAGAGTGATGGCTAATAGGTAGGCCTTTATCACACATGTTGTAGCCTGGGATTTTCCTAACTCTGTGAGTCAAAATATTCTCCATGACAGATGATTAATGAGACACAGATGTAACTATAGGTGATAAGAATTCATCTGTGCGATCACGAAAGGGAGAAAAGACTTAGAAACTGGCCCAAGAGACAATTCAACATGGGTTACTCAGTTTCTGAAAGCCATTTGCACAGTGAGTTTGGTAAACTAAAAAAAAAAAAAAAAAAACAAGTTTGCTGCTTGATTTGATTTAATCAAAAACTGCTAAAAATGCTTTTAGATGAACTGCACTAATGTCAAAGCCTCCAGCCAATGCTTTCTCTTTCCTCCTTTCAGGGATACCTAATGACTCAAAGAGGTTTTATATACGTATATTCATACCTAAGAAGCGATTTCCTGTTTATTTTCAAATCTTGAAACGTAAGATAGATGGAAATAATGTACTTTATATCTCAGCCTCAGGCATGATGGTTCTGTAAGGTAAACCATAACAATGTACTAATAAAGGCTAAGAGAAATTCCCTACATCACTTTGAGCAATTTTAACATTTTCCTGCATCACTGTTTCTATTGCCGAATTTACCAGTCTACTGGAACACATCTGCCTTGGATAGAGTCCATACAATGAGAAGATGAAGCAAATGAGAACTCCCCCCTAGAAATGGCTAGGGAGATGTACAAATTAAAAGAAGATTTTAGAAAACATTAATTTAACTGGGTCAGTTGTCGTTTTAAATTCCTTCCTGTCCCAGCTGGAGTTTCTTTTTTTTTTTTTTTTTCTTTTACAGTGTCCTGTCTGGCAAGGTGGCAATAAGAATAATTGTCTTGATGCCAAAAGGAGCCCAACAGATTTTACTTTCACAAGTGTAGCGGTATCGCAATTGCCATACTGCTCCACTTGTTTCATGTATATAAATTGCTTTATTATAATTATGCAGGGAGTTTTACAGTTCATATGGACACTGCAATGTAAGTAGAGCAGAAAAACAGAAGAAGAAGAAGGAAAAAGAAAAAAACAGGACAAAAGATGAAAGAAAGAGGAGATAGGAAGGAGACAATGACAAAACATTTTCAGTCTGCTTCAACACCTGTAATGAGATGGAGAAAGAGAAAAAAAAAAAGAAAAAAAAGAAAAAAGAACAGCACAACCAAAAAAACATGGTACGAGATATACAATAAAGCAAACACCTTGAAACTATCGCTAAAGTAATATTATTAAGTCTGACATGTACTCTGTGTTACCTGAAGATATGAATGTGGGGTTTCTGTTTGGAAGTGAATCTCTAAGTACCTGAAGCCTAGCACCTGTAGTTGTTTGTGTGGGTGAACTTGTGCATGTAAAGTTTTAACCATAGAAAAAAAAATGCTCAATAGTGGTTGTGGAGAGCCGGAGAGGCACACCCCCCAGAGCACTGAGTCCAGCGCCGGGAGACCCAAAGCCCCAGGCGCCCAAGGGGACCCCAGAAGCGAAGGCACCAAGGCGGGGCCAGCCCCGGAAACCAGACCCCACCAAGGCAGGAGGAGAGACAGCCACGAAGAAGCCCCCCAGCCACCGCCATGCCGGCCCCCCCGGGGAGCCGCGGGGACGAGTCTGCGGGCCCCGCCGGCAGCCGGCCACCCCGAAGTAGGGCCGGGCACCGAACACCAGCCCCCCCACGGCGCCGACCGAAACGCCCCAGCCCCACAGAGCACCGAAACACGCCCCGCCCCCCCGCACCAAGCCCCGGCGACCGGCCGCAACACCCACCGCGACCGCACCACCCAGGAAAACACTCAGGCGGCCCCGCCCCCGGCCGGGGCCCCTGCGCATCCGCCGCGAACCGGCCACGAGCGCCGCGGGACCCCCCCAAAACGCCCCCCCGGCCAAAAGCGCAGCCCCACCCCACCAAGACCGATGCCAACAGCGCGCAACGAAACACACCGCGCACAGAATCAGCCCGAGAGCAGAAAAGCCGCCCGGTGCAAAACCGCAAGAAGAGCAGACCGCAGCCGGCGCAACCACCCCCTCCAGCAGCCCGAGGGGCAGCACAAAGCCAGAGCGGAGCGAACCGCGCCGCCCCCCCCACCGGACGAAGCCAAAGCAGCCCAGCCACGTCCGCCGCCCCCCCCGCAGCCCGCACCAGGCCCTGACACGCGGCCAGAGCAGCTCCGCCGCCCCGGCCCCCCCACCATGCGCCGGCCATAGCCACTCCAGGCCCCCACCCGCCCCCGCAGCCCCACCCGCCGCGATCAGCGGGAACAGAGCAGCCCCGCCATGCCTCCAGGAGGGAAAACCCACCCGAATACCCAGCCAGCGCAGCCAACCCGCCCAAACCGGCCCCCCAACACTACCCCCGCCGGAGCCGCCCGGACCCCCACACACCAGCGGCGCGCCGCCAGCAGGACCCCCACCCAGCAGGCCCGCCCGCCCCCCGAGAAAACAGACATGCCAAACCCCCCAAAGAAAAAAAAAAAAAAAAAAAAAAAAAAGGAGCCCCCACAATGCGACAGCGGACACCAGACACCGACCCGCCCGCAACCGCTCCCCACCACCGAGGAAGAGAAAAAAAAAAAAAAAAAAAAAAACATAAATAAATAGGTAAATAAATTAATTAATTAATAATTACAATTAAAATAAATAGGCAAGAGGAGAAGTGCGAGCGGAAAAACCGGAGCCCAAAACAGGACCCAAGACCCGCACCCCACCATGCCGCGCAGCTCCCCCCCCCCCGAACCGATACCACAGAACCGGCATAAGAAGTTTCTAACCAGCTGGAGTTTCTAACTAAGCCCGGTCACATTCTGACCACTCCTCTCAGCTGTTCAGAGCAGAAACAGTAGCCATCAGACACCCTTTCAGTTCAGCTGTCAGTAAGATGTCCACCTTTCACAGTCTGGATCATAAAGCATTCTAAAAATCCTGTGTTAAAGGTTCTCTAAGAGTTTCTGCATTGTTTTAAATCTAAAGGGACAGGTCAGGATTTCTGAAGTCGGGTTTTGCCAAAAGGGTGTAAGTAGTTACGCCTACTGAGTAAATTTCCACTGAAAGGAAAAAGAAAAGAAGACGCTACCTTTAATCTAAACACCATGAAAAGGTTTGGGTTGATGAAATGGGCTGACCAAGCCTGACCTCTTATGTTCTTTGAATGGGCTAAATTTTGATGGGACCTTTGACTTAGTCAAATGCCCAGGTTTCATAGTATGAGCTAAATAAACAGGGCCCAGAACAGCTGAAATATTTATCAAAATGAGATCTCTGTGAAAATCTCAGTGTAGAAGGCAACATATTTTCTGCTGCAGATAACTTAAGCATCTTTATTAAGCATAAATCCAGATTAGTGGGTCAAGTTTAGTTCAAAATCTTAGTAAAAATCAAGACCAAAGCCAACTTCCACCACCTTTAAACAACCCCAATCTTATCAACATCATCATTTTTCCATCTTAATCACTTTCTACAGGACAATTCAACTGAAATATTACATTCTCAGATCATATCTCACAAACACTACTGGTAGTGAAATGCTTATTACACGCATCTCTTGTTTAAGTCATTATCAGCTTTGGTATTGCTAGCCGCCAAAGAATAGAGGAAAGTTTAAGAATTTATGAAATAACATACAACGATATTTTCTCTCTCTCCTTTCATTTAAAGTGCTTGCACAGCAAGGGCCACAGTTACCAGTGTTTTCCTGCAGGTTTATGGAGCATGGTTGCTGAAAATCTCCCACCTGATGCTGGACACTGTTCATCAAAAAGCCTGAAAGAGAGCCGTTGATCTTAACTGACATTCTCTATTCCAGTTTCATGAACCTCAAGCTAAGTTCTAAAGTTGAACTATGGCAGAGACAATGATTAAAGGTCTTCTAGGTGTTGCATTGAACAAAAAAGAATGCTGACCTTTTAAGATCTTTATAGCCCCATCACTAATAAAAAGGGAATGACAGTGTTATTGAAGCTTGTGAGGCACTGCAAAAGTTGAACCCAGCTCTTGGTGTGTACAAAACTGCAGCAAATATTTACCCCCACTAACTCCCAGCAGGACAGAGCCACAGCTGACATCCATGTCACCAAGCAGACAGCCAAGGAACAATCTACTTTAGAGTCCTGAAAACATTTCAGAATCACCTTCTATACATCTGACTTCCATTCTTAGAAAAGATGGTGATCAGCAGAAAAAAAAAAAAAACACACCAAGGATGTACAAATGCTTAGAAATACATTTTACAGGCTGGTAAAGGTGGTTATGAAACCTATGCAGGGGTGAAGATCAGAGCGCAGTGAAACAATATTTCTCCAATACTTTGTGGAATTAATGAGGAGAAGTTGCTCTCATTGGGCCGACACAAACTTTGGCTGTTTACCTTGCAGGAGAAAGCCACGGTCTTAGTGAGAGAGTCGATCCTCTCGCTGTACTCAGTGAATTTTTTCTGATACTTCAGCGCTGTCATCTGCAGCTCGCTGTGCACCGCAGACAGCTGAGCCAGGAGCGCCTTCTCCCGCTGGTTGGCTTTGATCGCCTGCTTCTTCAGCTCTCTGTCCAGGATGAGCAACTTGCACTGCAGCGCGCTGTTGTGCGCCTTCAGGGCTCTCACGCAGCAGTGGCTGTTTAACTTCTGCTCCCTGACTGTGAGCGTCAGCCCGCAGCCGCTCTCGCAGATCCCCGCCGCTCTGTACTCACAGGCATCCCGCATGTGCACGTCCAGATCCCGCACGCACACCAGCTCCTCGCAGCCTTTATTCCTGCACTTGGCTGGGGAAAAGTCGCACATCTCAGCGTGTTCGGCCAGATGCTGCAGCGTCACTACGGCATCGCAGCCCCTGGCGTGGTTGTCACATTTGATTTCCAGCTTCAGGATGAGGTTCTTCAGCGGCAGGACGTGGTTGAGTTCCTTGGCGGAGATGCGCTGGCACTTGACGGGGCAGCTGCTCTGCTGGACAACCCAGGGCAGCACGCAGCCGGAGCAAAAGACGTGGCCGCACGGAGTCGTGAGCGGGTCCTCCAGGACTTTGTTGCACAAGTTGCATTTGAAATCTGGGTCCACGGTCCCCTTGAAGCGGTCCAACTCGAATCCCATGGCGCGTTTCCGAAATCCGAACTCAGACTTTTGGACTCCCCACCCCCGCAGGTCTCTGTCGGAGCAGTGGGGCGTTCAGTTGTTCATTGGCGGTGCGCTCCCACTGGCCGACTAAGAGCTCTGTTCACTCACAGCCTAAACTCTGCTAATTGAGTGAGACTTTTGGTGCCTTTAGGTGCGCCTCGGATATTTAAAGTTTGAAAAGTTTTGACGCGTAAAGCTATATATATATATATATATATATATATATATATATATATATATATATATATATATATATATATATATATATATATATATATATATATATATATATATATATATATATATATATATATATATATATATATATATATATATATATATATATATATATATAACATACTATGTGATTAAACCACATCAGCCATTATAACTGCCAAAGCATAAAGAATAAAGGGAGCACTGGTATGCGAGGATATTTTTCTACAGTAATAATCAAAATAAAAACGCAATTGGATAAGATTCTGCCTTTCAGTAACCCTATAGAGTGAATGGAAATTTGTAAACACGCAGATTAAAAAAAATCTAGAGCAAAAAAAAAAAGCTGTTTCTAATTTATTCTGTTTGTGGGATAACAAACAGCAAAAAAAAAAAAAAAAAATTCTAAAAACAGCGACATGAGTTCAGAGGTGTCAAGTAAAGAAGTACAAATACTTTGTTACTGTACTTAAGTACACTTTTTAAGTATCTATACTTTACCTCATTACTTATTTTGCTTCCTACTTCTGACTTCTACTCATTACATTTTCACTCAAGTATTTGTACCTTCTATTCCGTACATTTTTAAAACAAGCGTTATTCGTTACTCTTGGCTTTGGTTTAATGTTTATAAGTTTTTATTTCACGCCATGTGCTCCATCCAATGCAGATCATTGGTGCCATCCACATCTTGTAAAAAGGAGTTTGTCTTTCCTTTCCTGCTTAGCCTACTTACTTACTACTTATATTGCAGTGTCCATAAAATCTGTAATACTCCCTGCATGAATTATAATATAGCTATTTATATACATAACTCAACCGGAACACTATGGCGATAGCTGTACTGCTCCACTTGTGAAAGCAAAATATGTTGGGCTCTCTTTTTGGCAACAAGAAAATTATTGCCACATTGCCAGACGGGACACTGTAAAAAATAACAAAAATAAAAGTGTAATTGGATGAGTCATATAACGCAAACACTCATTGGTTAGCTTTTCATCAAATTTGTGCTGATGCCAAAGGAAATCATCAGAAGCAAGCAGGTGTTCTTCAAACTGCAAAAGTTAATAGTCTATGCCATGACAATGTCAGATTCAGAAAAAGATGTTGAAATGTCTGAAAGGTCGGACAGAGGCGACCACGAAGACCTCCTTCATCTTTGGCCCTATCACAAAGAACTTTTCATAATAGTCGAAAAATTAAGCTTTAAAATTCATACAGTGGCATCTGACTGTTTTTATTAAACAATAATTTATACTTTAAGTCGTTTTTGGAGCACATACTTTTTCACCTTTACTTGAGTAAAGAGGTGAAGTTGATACTTCAACTCTTACCAGAGTGTTTTTAAACTGCAGTATCTATACTTCTACCTAAGTAACAAATGTGTGTACTTTTGACACCACGGCATGGGTTCAGCTTTTTGTATGATCATTCTGGTTTTGGGCCACATTGATAACGAAAGGCTTAAAAAAGAGAAAATCCATGTTGAATTGGACACGAATCCTGTAAAATTCCAGCCAGCAGACCAACAAATATACAATATATATACTGTATAAAGTTCCTGTTTGCATAAACTACAAGATCTTTATCTAATATATTGTTATAGCACATTTTGAATCTTTGAGGAATATTGATTTCATCTCATAGGTTTTAGCTTCTTTCAAGCACATTGGTGTTGATATCAAGCAGAACAGCTGTTATGATTCTGGCTGAAATGGAAAATCATACAAAGTTGGAGTAATAAAAATAGAGGATTACTTCTGAATGCCTGCACATCAAATTCCCAGCTGGATGGTTTGATATTGAAAAATGATTGAACTATGCATAAATATTTGGGTCATGAATACACAAAACTATTAACATTCATTTACCATTTTTTATTTTTAATGTCTTCTCAGAATTATATGAGAAATCTATGTATGATTATAAAAAGTCATTTTCTAAGAACTCTATTCAACACTATCTAAATACATATTAGTGCAAGTGCATGTTTGAGTTTTAACTTAAATGTCAACTTTGGATCATTTTAAATCCACTTCTTTATAATCATTAAAGTTTTAGATAAATAGATTGTGATATAATCATGTCCCCTAAAAAATAATAAAAATAAATTACAAAAACATAAAATAAAACTTGAAATAATAATTTTTAAAGTAATTTGATATACGCTCCAGTATCCAATATCTGTCTAGAAATGTTTCATAAAATTTTTTTCTTTAGATGTTTTTTCTTCTTTTACATGCATAAAGAAATATTGTTATTCAAATCTGCATAGAAAGCATTCAGGCTTGCACAACACTGGTAAAAACAAGGAATCTTGGAAAGACTTTAAAACGAAGCAGCACAGGTGAGACTTTCAAGTTACGACATACTTTGAGCAAGGGGAAGATTGTGTTAAAGTTATGAAAATCAGCAGGGATTAGAGCTTGTGGTATGAAAATGAGTATTCGGGGCACCTCTGTGGAATTCATGTTTGAACACACCTGTCACTGACTCATAATGCACAGAAACCTTTCAGTGAAGGTGTTTTAACAACTGCGCACTCTGATATGAATTTATTCATCTTAGCAGGAGAGGAAAAGAGTATTTGAATTGGAAATGAAAATTCGGTGGACCTGCTGAATTTGCTCAATGAAGGAAAAGAATAGGAGCTCAAGCAGAAAATACTGCTGGCCCGTCCAGACTCCCGCTTCTACTGGTTGCCTCCTCCTTCTGAAATCCAGCTTTATGCAATGCCATGCTCTATAAAACCTTTCCATGTGTGCATTATCCTGAACTAAAAACAGGGGCTTATAAAGGACTTCAGAAAGAAACTGTGGCTGAGGAAGTGTGAGCTTGTGGGGGTGTTATGGAGCGGCAGGAAGAATCCACAATGATCCTTTGATGCCTGAACAGTTCCTTGAAGACCTATTCACATGGTTTAAAAATATCCACATTGTATCACCTTACAGCCACAGACTTTAGTGTATTTTGTAGGGAATAATGTAATTTCATGTCATAGACCAAGGTAGATTGAAAGTGAAACATGACTTTCAACTTTTTTATAAGTAATGTCAAAAGAGAGGCATGCATTGGTATTCCGTCCCTTCATGCTGATATCCTTAGAATGGAATGCAGGTGTCAGCTGCCTTAGAATATCTGATTTGAAAATAGAATCTAGTTTTATGTATCTCAATATATTTCAGCTGTTTACGAAGGCCTCAGTGATTAGCACATCATTAAAACCAGGACGTCTGCAGACAGGTAAGCGATAAAGCAGTAGAGACATTTTAGTGGTCATGTACAATGACTTTATGGATTTTATTGGCAGTAGCCCACTCTGGTTGTAAAAAAGAGGCTTTCAGACTGAACAATGGCACCCTATTAACTTATATTTCAGCTCAGTTTAATGCTTTTTTTGGATCTATTTTGTAGTAAACTGAAGACTTTGTGAGCACCTCATTTAACATGATAATATCGTTTCACCACAAGTACCATGTTGCATACTGCACAATCAGAATACAGCATAGGTGTGAAAAGAAAAAGGAAAAGTCTAAGACTGCTTGTGAAAAGAAAAAACAAATGCAAAGTTAGACAATGCAAGAGTATCACTTCTCAACATAATGTCTGCTGATAGAAGAGGTAAAGCCGCCCAAGCCAGTTGATGGATGTTTAACTAAGTACTGCCAGCAGATTGTATGCTTACAACAATCGTATACACCTTTCCATCCATCCATCCATCCATCCATCCATCCATCCATCCATCCATCCATCCATCCATCCATCCATCCATCCATCCATCCATCCATCCATCCATCCATCCATCCATCCATCCATCCATCCATCCATTTTCCGTCACGCTTTATCCCAGCTGGGGTTGTGAGGGGTGCTGTCTACGGGCGAGAGGGCAACAAAAACACAAACAGGACAAACAACTATGCACACTCACACCTAAGGAGAATGTAAGGAAGCCAATTAACCTAACAGTCATGTTTTCGGTCATACACCTTTCCAACTGGCCAAAGAAATCTGTTTAAACATGCAAACAATCATCTTTTAGTGGAAGTAGGAATAGCTTACTAACCTGCTTTGACCTATGTTAAATGACTCTGCAAAAGACACCGTTTAAAATAGTTTTTAATTGGCTCGGCTGTTATTGGCATGCACTGGGAACAAGACCCGGATCACCCGCCAATTTACATTATAATGTTAAACTCATCATACATATGCTACAACATAATGCCAGTCGTGTCTGATATTAAAGCCAAAACAATACTAGCGTGAGGGCGTCGCCAAACACACAGTGGTGGGGTTAGAGGCGACGCAGCTTGCCAGCGGCAGATCAGACCTGGCTTTTTTAACGATGGAAAAAAAGCCAATTGTTATCGTGTCAACCCATGTTGAAAAAACCCACATTAACCCGCTAAGTTCAGTGGGAAACCAGCTTTACTCTTTGCTTATTGCGTCCCGTGCAAAAATTCTTAAATATCTTTATTTTAAATGATATATTGGTTGATTGATTGACTTTACTGAGCTCACAATAGAGAAATGTACTCGTTACATCAGCTCAAATAGTCAAAAAGAGAAGAAGAAGGTGCCACAGGAAGAAAAAGGTGCATGGGATATATACAGTATATACAGGGTGTCCACATATGACAGCCTTTTTTTGTCATATGTTTTTTGGCATTTTTGGTGTAGACGTAAATGACTGGGCACCCCTAAAGTAGGGCTGGATTTTAATAATTTTTTTGGGGTTGAGGATTACCTTCCAATAAGACAAC